ATATGCATGTGAAAGTTGGACAGTAAATAAGGGAGACCGTAGAAGACTTGATGCTTTTGAGCTGTGGTGTTAGAAGAGAATATTGAAAGTACCATAGGCTGCCCATAGAATCAACAGATCTGTGTTGGAAGAAGTACAGCCAGAGTGCTCCATGGAGGGCAAGATAGCCAAACTTTGTCTCTCATACTTCGGACATGTTGTCAGTAGGGGCCAATCTCTGGAGAAGGATATCACGTTTCGTAAGGTGGAGGGTTAGAGAAAAAGAGGAAGAGCCCCAGCGAGATGGATTGGCCAAGTGACAGTATCAATGGGCTCAAGTGTGGCAATAATAGTGAGGTTTGCCCAGGATTGGTGAGTGTTACATTTTGCAGTGCATAAGGTCACTATGAGTTGGCACTGACTCGATCGCACCTAACAACAACAACAACAATGCAACATTGAAGAGTAACGATGAATTGACGAAACACCTCAAAACATGAATGAACCTGGAGGACATAATGCTGAGTGAAATAAGTTAATAACAAAATTATATTGTAAAATCCCAAAGTTTTCATACTAGAAGGAACATTCTTCGATTGTTGTTGTGTTAAGTGCTGTCAAGTCGATTCTGACCCATAGGGTTTCCAAGGAGCACTGGTAAGCTCAAACCTCCAACTTTGCAGTTCAAATGGCTTTGCAGTTTGATGTATTAACCCACCGCACCATACCAGGACTCCTTGTTGTTGTGAAGTGCCGTCTAGTCGGTTCCGACTCATAGCGACCCTATATAGGCTTTCTGAGGAACAGCTGGTGAACTAGAACTGCCGACCTTGCAGTTCAAATGGCTTTGCAGTCTGGCGCATTAACCCACAGCGCCACACCAGGACTCCTTGTTGTTGTTAAGTGCCATCGAGTCGGTTCTGACCCGTAGCGACCCTGAACAGTGTTTTCCAAGGCTGTAAATCTTTACGGGAGCAGAAAGCTTCATCTTTCTCCCATGGAGCCGCTGGTAGTTTCAAACTGCTGACCTTGCAGTTTGCAGCCCGGTTCGTAACCACTACGCCACCAGAGCTCCTTATAGGGGTGGAAATGGAGCTCTGGTAGTTTAGTGGTTACAAGTCAAGCTGCTAACCTCAAGATTAGCGGTTTGACACTACCAACTGTTTCACAGGAGAAAGATGAGACTTTCTGCTCCTGTAAAGATTTACAGCCTCGGAAACCCTATGGACAGTCGCTATGAGTCAGAACTGACTGTATGGCACACCACCACCACCGGGTGTGGAAGGGAAGGTAGAGCAATTGACTGGGTAGACACATGATAACTTGGTTGTTGATGAGGAGGGCATCATACAAGAAGGAGGTTGGCAGAAGAATGATGAAGATAGTGGGAGAAACAGGGAGATATGCAAGGGCTAAAGGGAATAGGCGTAAATAGTACTATATACACAACCTAGAAGAAGTCCCGGTGTGGTGCCCTAGGATGAGCACTCAACCTCAAGGTTCGTCTGAACCACAAGATCTGTGGTTCAAAGTCACTAGCCTCTCCATGGAAATCCCATCCAGAGTTGCTATAAGTCTGCACTGACATGTAACAATAACACAACCTTGAAATAACAGTATTCTGTGTGTAGATATATGAACAGAGATACAGCCAGAATGGAATGGAAGTGCCATCGAGTCAATTTCGACCTGTAGCAACCCTATATAGGTCCAGGGAGCAGCTGGTGAGCTCGAACCACCAATCTTTCGATTGAAAGCAACTTTGCAGTCCAGTGCATTAACCCACAGTGCAACACTAGGATATATACATATCCCACAAATATATGTGTTTACAAAAGGTTATTTGTACATGGGTAACCATGGGGAGGAAGCAGGACGACTGTTGTTGCGGGGAGGGGATTGCAATAATTAATATGATACAAAGTATGTGACTTGTTGAATGTAAAACTGATGATCATTTCAATTCACAATAAAAAGTCGTTTTTGTTTGCTTTTTGAAAAGGAGCCTCAAGAGAATATAAATTTCCATTAACTGCATTTTGAGTATTTTTATTAGTTGCATTTCCAACTGAACTTGAATAAATTAGGTACAACGTCGATAGAAGTAAAAGAAGTAATCTGTATAGAATATCCCGGCAAAATAAGGATCTGTTGAGCAATCAGCTAAATCCTGTCAGAACAAAAGAAAACAGAGAAATATTAATATGAGCATTAACTTAAATTATGTATATATGTCGGCCCATTTGTTTCTCACTGAAAAAGAAAAGGAAAGAAGAAAAGAACACTTACCGGTGCAGCTACTCGGAAATGGTATGCGCTGTCAGAGAAAGGAGCTACAGGGAGACTCCAAATGTGCTGATAGCCCTAAATAATGAATGAAAGAAAGAGCCATTTCATAACCACATTTTACACTCAATTAGAGAAGATACAGGCTGAGAGAGCATATCCATGACTCGAGAAGAGAATCTGTAATAGCAATTTTTGGTGTTACTAGACCAGACTATGCATCAAGGTTTTGCTGAACAAAACCCTGGGGCAAGGTCAGTCAGCAAGGGAAATACTGGCATTTGACTGGTGGTGTGTGAATTACTTTGATGCTGGCGCCTTGGTATGGTGCCATAGGATAAGCACTGGACTGGTAACTGCAAGGTTGGAAGTTCAATTCAAAGTCACCAGTTCAAAACTCATCAGAAACATTATATAGGGTCATGATGAGTTAGAATTGACTCTACAACAACAATAATAATGCTGAAAGCAATTCCACTAATATTTAAAACACTATCAGGAGCTCTGGTAGTATAATGGTTACAAATTGAGCTGCTAATCTCAAGGTCAGCAGTTTGAAACTACCAGCAGTTCCACAGGAGAAAGATGAGGCTTTCTGATCCCAAAAAGATTTACAGCCTCTGAAACCCTATACAGAGTTGCTGAGTTGGAACCAACTCCAAGGCACGTAGCAGCCACCACCACCATCATCAGGGCTATGTAGGGTGGACAGGCTTTAGCCGAGTTTCCAGACAAGGACAGACTAGGGAAAAGGCCTGGACATCTACTTTCAAATACTAGCCAGTGAAAACCTTATGTATTACAACAGAATAGTGTTCAACATAGAGCTGGAAAACAAGTCCCCGAGGAGGAAGGCACTAAAAGTATACAGTGGCTGTAACAATGGAGTCAAGCACACCAAGGGTCATGAGGAGGGTGCAGGTGATACCAGGCCCCGTTTTGTTCTGCTACATATGCCTCAAGGATGAGTCAGAGCTGATTACATGGCAACCAGCGACAGCTGTCCTCTCATAGAGGTAAACATAAACTGTGTCCAAACTCTGGCTACACCTTCATCTCGAATGGGGACATAGAGCCAAGAAGCCAGAAGCCCTGCAAAGCATTACCTGTGTCATCTCCTGGGAGATTTCTCTGCGAGTTTGGATCCCTTTGGCTTCCCACTTACTATGGAAACATATATTTCCAAGGGTGAATTTGCACTGGAAAACTATCAATGGCTCTGTTGTGCTTCAAGAGACAAAGGAAAGAAGGGTCAGTGGAAAAGGAAAGGTAATTACCAGTTCTTACTTGGCTACACCTCATTAGGAAGCGAGACTAATGAAAACATAACTTGGAAATCCATTCAAACTTCACAATTTTATGGTGTAGACTCACTAATACAAATATGCTGACTCACATCTCATTATTACAGAAAGAAACCTCATCTCAGGTCTCTATTTGCCAGTTTCTAAATCCAAATTTCATGTCTTAATTCACTTAAACATTAGACTTTCTCACTGTGGTGCATTGAGAATACTAAAATAAATTTTTTATACATCCCTTTCTCTTTACACTGAAAATTGAATTTGTATCCATGGATGTTTCCAGAATTTTAGATTCTGCCAACTTCTGGTCTGGAGAGATAGCATTTGAAATAGCAAGACAAACACAGGTAGGAATTTGGGGCCGAATACTATTTAAAATCACCAGCCTGGAAACCTATCACAGAGTGGAAGGCCTGTAAGAAAAGATGTTTCTCCTGCTCAGGAGGTCAGTCCATTAACTATTACTGAAAGGACAAAGTCCATCTGTCTTTAAACACAGTCATTGTGCACATGTGGGAAAATCCTGAAATCTGACTGAGTACATGTTATTTTTGAATCATCCATATTAGGAAAATGATTATTTCTAAAGGCTTAATTCAGTAATTCAAGATGATCTCTTGCCACTTCAGGGGAATTTCATTTAAGCTAACTTCCTTCCCTCTAAAGCTAGGAGTCCTGGTGTGGTGCTGTAGGATGAGCCCTGGATTGCTAACCACAAGTTGGCAGTTCAAACCCACCAGCTGCTCCTTGGAAAACCTATATAGGGTTGCTATGAGTTGTAACTGAATTAGCACTTAACACCACCAACAAAACTAGGAACAAATAAGACAATGTCATTTAAAGTTACTAGCCTTCAGGACTTTTGCTCTGCCTTGAAAGAAGGCAGGGTCTAAGTCATGAAGTATGAGGGCACTTCAAAAAATTGGTGGGGAAATTTCCTATCTTTTAATTCAATTTTTCCACAAACTTTTTGAAGCCCCTTGTATGAGCTACTCAAAACAAACCTTTCCAAGGTAAGCAGTTGGGTTGAACGTCATTAGCATCTAATGGGAGCAAAATTGATAAGGAAGTATGAAATCTGAGTGAAACAGAAGAAGAGATAGAGAGAGTGGGAAAAATGATGGAAGAAGAATAACAGAACTGGGCAAGCAGAAGGAGAGTGAGGAGGTCTGAGGAAAAGAAAAGAGGAAGAGAAGGAAGGGAAGAAGAAAAGACAAGTAGAAGCAGAAGAAAAGGAGAGACTAAAACCAAGAAATACAAAATAAATACCACCAGCACACAACAACTATCTTCTTCGTGCGTGGCTCATTGCATAGTTTTTTAATTAGGTATATTGAAGGTCTTAAAGTATCACATTGTTTTTATTAAGAGCCATTGAGTCAGTTCTGACTCATAGTGACGCTGTATAGGGTTTCTGAGGAGTGATGTGGATTTGAACCACCAGCCTTGTGGTAAACAGCCCAGTCTTCATGCTACAGCACAATCCCATATCTGGATTCATTAAATTAGAGTTTAATGATTTTGATGGAAAAGTAATCCTAGTAATAGCTACCATTTATTGAGTGCCTTTTCGTGGTTACGAATCGGGCTGCTAACCTCAAGGTCAGCAGTTCAAAACTACCAGTTGTTCCATGGGAGAAAGATGAGGCTTTCTGCTCCCATAAAGATTTACAGCCTTGGAAACATTGTGCAGGGTCACTATGAGTTGGAACCAACTCCATGGTACTTATCAACAACAAATACTGTGCCAGGAATAGGCCAATTCCTTACATATTCTATCTTATTTCAGAGACCAGAGAGTGATAGTTAAAAGGATAGGCTGAGTTATTTGTTTGTTTAATTTCTTATTATGAAGGTTTAAAGAGCAGATCATCAGTTTTTCATTCAACAAATCATACAAATTTCATTTCATCTCATTGACTGTAATCACACTGCAACATCAAATGTCCCCCTTCCTTCCTGCGCTTCTTAGTTCCACTCCTTCTTCTTTCCCAACCCTCCTGACCTTTGTCCTTGGGTATATTCTACCCTTTTGATCTAAAATGGTTGCATATTCTTGGCATGCATGCCTCTTTAGTGTTATTGTTCCCCTTGTTTTTATTGTTGTTCACTTCTACTAAGTTGGTTCCAACTCATAGAAACCTTATAGTTTTTGCAAGGAGCAGTTGGTGGATTTAAGTACCCGACCTTGTGGGTAGCAGCCCAGTGCTTATCCTAGAGTGCCGCACCAGAACTCATCTATAGACCTATTATTTGATAAAAAATTGAGTTATGGAGATGAATTCAGTTGCAGACCTGAAGGGAGAGACCACTGAGATGGCCCATAGTTTCAGGGGTTTTACCAGTCTCTATGTAATTGGTAAGCCTGTTTTTTGTTGTTTTTTATGATTTTGAGTTTTGTTCCACATTTTCTCCCACTCTATCCAGGACTTTCTAATGTTATTCTTTCCAAAGCAATTGGTAATGGTAGCTAGGCACCATCTAATTCTTCTGGTTTCAGGATCATGGAGACTGATATATTCTTGTGATCTATTAGTCCAATGGACTGGTTCCATGCATCTTCAATTTTCACCACTCTTCTTTCATCTGGACAAGGAGAGACCAATAGTTGCACCTTAGATGATCACCCATTAGCTTTTAAGACTCCAGTTGCTACTCACCAAAGTAGGATGTAGAACACTCTCTTGTGGTCTAAGTTATGCCCATTGATCATGGTGTTCCCTGAGACTATTATCCTGAGCTTCTAAGTCCACCAATTCATTACTCCAAGATATTTGGTTATGTCTAAGAAGTTTTCTATCTTTGAAGATGGGATGAGTTTTAAGTCCAACTCCATCTATGAGATTTGGGACAAGTTCTTTGATCTCTCTAAACCAAAATGTTCTTATATGAAAAAACATAAACTAGACTCCTAGATCAGCTTGAACCAAAAGATCAACAGTTCAAGCTCACTAACTGTTCTTTGGAAACCCTATACAGGGTCACTATGAGTCGGAACTAGCTCGACGGTGCTTAACAATAACAAGAAGTGGTGACGAAGGCAACCTCCAAAGGCTGTTGTAAGGATTATATGACCCAGTACACAGTATTAAAGTGTGGGGGTTGCATGGTTCCAACTCATGGCAATCTTGTATTAGGTTTTTGAGGCTAAAAATCTTTACGGGAGCAGAATTTCTCATCTTTTTCCCATGGAGTGATTGGTGGATTTGAACTGCTGACCTTGCAGTTAGCAGCCCAACACATAATCCACTGTGCCACTAGTTGTTGTTGTTACATGCCATCAAGTCAGTGCTGACTCATAGCAACCTTACACACAACAGAACAAAACACTGCCTAGTCCTGTGCCAACTTCACAATTGTTGCTACTCTTCAGAACATTGCTGCTGCCACTGTGCCAGTGCATCTTGTTAGGGACCTTCCTCTTTTTGCTGACCCTCTACTTGACCAAAGATGATGCCCTTTTCCAGTGATTGGTTCCTCCTGATAATATGTCCGAAGTATGAGAGATGAAGTCTGGCCATCGTGGCTTCTAAGAAACATTCTGCCTGTACTTCTTCCAATACATATATGTTTGTTCTTTGGGCAGTCCATGGTACTTTTAATATTCTCCTCCAACACCGCAACTCAAATGCATCAATTCTAATATGGTCTTGTTTGTTCTTTGTCCAACTTTCACACGCATACATTTTAGTATTCAAACTGACATTGTTGCTCTCGAATGCTTTAAAGAGATCCTGTGCAGCAGATTTGCCTAATGGAATACATCATTTGTTTTCTTGACTGCAGGTTCCTTGAGTATTGATGGCTGGTACAATTAAAATGAAGTCTTTGACAACTTCAATCTTTTCTCCATTTATCTTGATGTTATTTTTTGGTCCAGTTGTGAGGATTGTTGTCTTTACATTGAAGAGCAATTACTACCGAAGGCTGTGGTCACCAGGGCTACATTAAAGCATAGTATCTGTCATATGGTCTGCTCATCAAATGATAGTTATTAATGCCACTATTATTAACAATAATTATTACTGTATCTCTATATCTTATGATAGAATGTTATACTCATTTTATGGATGAAGAATAAGTGGATTCTCCAAGATCACACAATTATTAATAGGTGACAGAGACAGAATTTGAATCTTAGCCTGTTCAATTCTAAATTCTGGCTCTTTTATTTTATCCCCTAGAAGGAATTTGATATGCATTGTGGCCAAATTTCACTAAAATCTACAATCTCCCAGAACTAAGCTATCGTACTTGCTCCCATCCCAACTCAAAGGGAGACTTGAGAGGCAGTCTCTAACTCATGAGCATAAAATTCAAGGTCATCCCCCTTCCAGGCCTGAGTACATTAGCCTAAAGCATTCCATGGCACAGAATGGAATCTGGAAGAGGGCCCACCTCTCAAATCAACAGCATCAGCTAACATGCATTGAAAGCTTTCTATCTCTTAACTTAGCAATTGCAGAGAAATATCAGACTTACTATTCAATGAATGATTAAAAATAAATGAAGAAAGAAATTGATTTTGTTACGGCTATACACTTACTTGATTTCCAGAGAAAATTTGACATTGGTAGGTGTGTGCTTATTTACAGGAATATTATAATTGTATTTTCCAGACCTAGTTATGGGGTAAAAAAAATGATAAATCAAAATTTGTAGAACAGGCTTCAAAAGGCTTTCCCCACCCCCTTATTATATATGATGTGAGCTGTTGAAGATTACATGATAATAATAAATAGAGAACATCAGGTTTAACATAATATAGGTTTATATTTTTCAGGTGCATATCTGTCAAATATTACAAAGTTATCACTTTTAGGTCTCAATATAAACTATGCCACATAGATTTGTATTTTTTTTAGAACACAGAGAGCAAATTATAGAAAATCAAATCTCAGACCAAATGCACAAAACTAAATACACTGGGAATTACTCCATCCAGTTCTCCCTGGGAAGATACCGATTTCAGAAGAGAAACAAGGCAAAATCTCAAAGCAACAATCCTCCTGGAAATGAGGATTGAAAATAATAAATACCAGCTTTCAACCATAAATCATTCTCTTTAAACAATATCAGCAAGAAATATCATGCACTTTCAAAACCTGAAGTTATTATAAAAACTACAGTTATTATAGTCCTAATTGCTGTTGAGCTCTGTAGGATAAGCATTGGACTGCTAATTTCAAGGTCAGCAGTTCAAACCAACCAACTGTTCTTGGAAATGCTATATAGGGTTGCTAGGAGTTGAAACTGATTCTATTGTACATAAGAACAACAAACGTTGTTTATGTATTTTTTAAAATGCAAGACAAATGCGTATGCATAGATTTCTCCCCCTTTAAGAGATATACTTGGGGGGAAAAGAAGAATTATTTTGATTTATATTGCAATGGATAATACCAGTAAAAAACAACAACATGTTGTATCTAATACAAGCTCTCCTTGTGATCTGGCCATCCCTTTGAATTATATTGAAAAAACCCTCAAAACTAGATAAATGGGAAAAAGGGTCAATCATTTTGGTGGCTACTTAATATTAAAAATGGGAAAGCAAAGGTGACAAAAATAGAAAGTTGTGGATTAGTATCAGATGAGATTTGTTCAATTGGGAGAAGCTTAGATGAATGGAATACATCTTCTACCTTCCTGTGTGGCACTGGCATTAGGACCATGAACTTGAAGCCTAAGTTCAGTAGGACAAGTACTGAAATGTTAACTTGTTTTTGTTGTTGTTAAGTGCCGTTGAGTCAGTTTTGACCCATAGTGACCCTGTATAGGGTTTCCGAGGAGCGGCTGGTGAGTTTGAACTGCTGACCTTGCAGTTCAAATAGCTTTGCCATCTGGTGCATTAACCCACAGTGCCATACCAGGACTCCAAACTGCTAACTTAAATGTCAGTAATTCAAACCTACCAGTCATTCCTTAGAAACCCTATACAGGGCTAGGTCGGAACCTACTCAGCAGCATTTAACAATACCTACACAATTCATAGTAATCCAACTCAGTGATAGTATCCCCATCTTATAGATGTTGTTGTTGTTAAGTGCCGTCGAATCAATTCTGACCCATCGTGACTCTGTATAGGGTTTCCAAGGAGCAGCTGGTAAGCTTGAACCACTGACCCTTGCAGTTCAAATGACTTTGCAGTCTGATGCATTAGCCCACAGCACCACACAATATCCCTTTATATATAGGGAGACCAAGTATCTTGTTCAAGTCCTGAGATTTGAACTAGAATTATCTGACCTTCTTAATTATGTTACTCTAACATAAGTTAATGTTCCATCTCGAGACACTTATTAGGTAGATAACTTCAGGCAAACTTTTCCAACCTCATTGAACCTCAGATTCTATAAATGTAAAATGGGAGTAAATAATAACAAACTCATATGGCTTCTATGAGAATTAATGAGTTAATGAATGTAGAGTTCATAAAGTAATAATATTAGCACCGGATTGTATACCACAAGGTCTGTGGTTCAAGCCTACCAGCTCTGTGGAGGATAAGGCATTCTGCTCCCAAATGATTTCAAAAGCTTCAGAAACCCTGTAGAAGGTTGCTATGAGTTGGAACCAAATTGAAGGCACTTAACAACAACAATAAAACAGATTATTTTCATAGATTAGGACCATGAAATTGAAGCCTAAAAATAGTTATATCTGTTGAAAAGGAAATAAGATGATAACCCAGATGGTTTGTTACACCAGTTCAAAACACAGGGCCTGCCATCTTGCCTTTAACCTAACAGACATTACATAAATAGTCATCAAATTAGAAACAAAAACCTCCTTATTCTAATGCCTACAACTTTCAGACTGTACTGGCTGAAGTTACTTGCACTCTCTCCTTCTAGATGCATCATTACCTCGGTACAGGAGATACAACATACACTGCAGATGGATGCTGCTTTTAAAGTCTGCAATACCCAGATTTTTCTCTCCTAACTGAAAAATTAAGATAAACTATATTTTTTCAACAAATGAAATCATGATATCCCTTATCATTAAATTATAAATATGTCTGCTCTCTCATGACCTGGAGTCACTTGTAATAATGTCTTTCCTGTCTACAAAGTTAACTAACAGCTCTGCATCAATGGTATGTGCCCAAAAAGAGGTGACCACTCAAGTTGTCCCCCAGGCCTTTTGCTTTGGATTTATCTATAAACCTGCAGACTTGGAATCATTGGAGCCATGGTTTATTGATACTTGCTAACACCAACTGTATTGTGATTCCTTTTTCCACCAAGTAGCAAATTTGTTTTCACTTAAGGAGTAGGATAAGCACACCTTGATTTCATGATGTAGCTTTAGTTTTCAAACACATCATCATTCTAGTTTCAAAAACCCAGAGCCCTATAACAGATACAAGACTAGTGATGGCTGCAGAACATGTCACTGAATTATACATGCAAAAAGTGTTGAATCAGTAAATGTGTTTTATATGGCTTACTTAACATCCTTGATACAATCTATGAAATAAGATGTTATGTGATTTGGATGTTATGCAAATACCATCTTGAAACCTTACACACATTACATTACAGTTCCGGTTATTCTGATCACTGTTGCTGCTGCTGAAGCTGCTGGCAGAGGCTGGAGGAATTGGCAGTGGCAACAGGAATGAAGTGAGAGGAATCAAGTAGGGAGGGAGCAAAGCATGCCGGCCTTGCCTACTATTCGGCTCACCTGAGCAGCAGGTGCAGTCTGGCTCCACAGTCTATGCCACCACCAGCCCACAAGACAAAGCCCAGACCATGCTCTCTGCCTCACCTCCCTGCATCTCCTCCCTTGTCCAGTCCTGCAAGAATCTAGGTTTGGGGTCTTTAAGACCATTAGAGGAAAATAATAAATAAAAGAAGATCTGCTTTCTCTTAAGAAAAAAAAAAAATCATAAAACCTTCTAAGACCACAGACATATAGCAGTTGGATATCATTCAGATGTTAAGTGATGTAAATATATGTATATCCAAGTCATTCATATGGGGCCTTATATACACACACAAAGCAACTTTTAGAAGTTCAGAATTAAAAGGTAATGAAAAATTTCCACAACTTTTGAAATCCCTCATACATACATCTCCACTCTTCAAATATCAATGTGATTACGTTCCAAAGAAAAGTCATTATGTGAAAAATGGCATTTTGCAAAAATGGAAGATGATCATATCAAATCACAAAATGAAAGATGATTACAACATTACATAACTTTGAATGACATCATCATATAATTGCCAAATTACATCATCACCTAACTCCCACTACTGAGAATCATAGTTTAGCCAAGTTTACATATAACCTTAACCATCACAGCCAGCACTACTCTCATCTCACAGATAGATAGTACATTTTTTACTTTATTCATAAATGCAAAATCTCAGATAATGAGATAGTCATTAACTGAGGAATGGGTATACATATATTAAAGCAATAAAAACCCAGAGCCCAGGATAAAGTCCAGAAAGAAAATGGGCAGAACAAGAGGCTTACTCACCTGCACTGAAGGCTTTTACTACAGTACCGATGATCTATTCTTTGCTGGATTTCCATAATCTGAATAGAACTGATGGTTGTATCGATCCCTAAATTGAGTTAAAAAAAAAAAAAAAGAGAGAGAGAGAGAGAGATAAGGGAGTAAATTCTATGGGGAGAAATATTTGTGCCTCATTACAGTCCCCAAACTGCAGAATGTGAAATACGAATTTCTCAGATAAATGGATTCCATTTTGCATTCAAATTGGTAAAAGGAAAAATAAGAGAAGCCTTTTTTACTATAGGAACTTTAAAGAAAACTAATGAAAATCCAGGTCCCAATAAACAACCCTATAACATCCAGAAGAATTTCTGGACAATTTAAGTCTTGTTGGTGTGGCACTGTAGGTTAAACACTGGACTGGTAACAAGAAAGGCAGCAGTTCAAACTGTGGACCTGTGGAAACCCTACACAGGTTGCTATGATTAGGAACTGACTCAATGACAAACAACAAGATGAAGGCGAAATTTATTGAAAATGGAGGGTGTAATGTGAAATGCAATCTGGACATGTTGTTGTTGTCAGTTGTCGTTGAGTCAGTTCTAACTCATAGTAATCCTGTATAAGGTGAGCTTGAAGTGCCAACCTTGTGGTTCAAACCAACCTTGCAGTTCAATGCATAAACCCACAATGCCACACCAGGACTCCTAATCCATGACACCAGGACATAGAAGGATTTAAAATTTCAGGAAACAAAATAAAAACAGAACAGAGGATGAGAGAAAGAGGTTCATTTTACAATTATGTAAAACCACAGAGTTCAACCTCAACTTGTCTGGTGATTTCTAATGCCTCACTATTAATTAGTCTGTCATCAATTATAAAATGTAACTCTACTGGTATATATGCATGCATAAATGTACAAGGGGCTTCATAAAGTTTGTGGGAGAATGGAATGAATTAAAAGAGACTAAAGGAACCTGAGAGTATGTATGGCCCTTGGTCAACCTTCAAGGACGGAACTTAACTCACCCTCTTGGCACAATTTTCAGCCAAAGTAGATAGGTATATAGGGGTGACAGGAGTCCTGGCTTATAGCTATAGAATAAGCACTGGACTGTTACTGAAAGGTCAGTGATTCAAATCTACCAGCTGTGCCTCAGAAATCATACACAAGATTGCCATGAGTTGAAACTGACTTGATAACACTCAGCAACAGCAATAGAGAGGACAAACAATACTAGAAAGGTATGCTCACTATGGAATGTACAATCACTCAAGAGCCTAAGGGCAGCATTTACCCAAGGACAAAGTTCAGAAAGTTGGAAAATTGGGTAGAATGTCAACAAGAATCACAGGGAAGAAGCGGGATAACTGATGTTACTTGGAGAGATTGCAGTCATTGAAATGAAATGAAGTGTATGATTTGTTGAATGTAAAAATGAGGATCTGTCTTGTAAACTTACACTCAATTCACAATAAAAAGCTTTTTTAAAAAAATAAAAAGATATTGGAATTTCCCCAAGAACTTTGGGATATCCTCTCATACATGTGCATCTGTGTATGCGTGTATATGCAGCCTTTATTCCCATTCCTCACTCCAATGGTTTTACTTTGCATGGCTCTACAGGTAAGGTCCCAGAATAGAGTTACTTCAACATACTTACAGTCACTTCCCCAGTCAGGACTGGTTAATGCATTTCTTTCCAGGAATGTTTTCCTCCTTTCTTCTGAGGAAATAAAGTCTGTCTTTAAAACTTATTCAGAATGAGAATAAACCCATTATGGTATCCGAGTTTGTATTCATGAGTTAAATGTCTCTCCACTCTTTCACTCTCCCATTTTTTGATCCATTCACTACCTACCTCTAGTCTTACAAAACTAGACTAGTCTTACCACTGTCTCAAAAAACACAACTCACAGCTTCCTCCTTTCTAATGCTATAGCATTTATTATTGAAACCATCTATGTAGTGATCAATTATTGATATATTTGTTACTATTTGAAGTGCATGTTATCTCTGTGTTATGACTTTAGTTTTCATGTATTTTGCCTTTTCTTGACAACTCTACAATGGTGTTGTTGCTGTTGTTAGGTGCCATTGAACCAGTACTAACTCATAGTGACCCTATGCACAACAGAACAAAATACTGTCCTGTCCTGCGCCAACCTCACAATCATTGCTATGCCTGAGCCCAGTGCCGCTGCCACTGTGCCAATCCATCTCATTGGAGATCTTCCTCTTTTTCACCAACCCTCCACTTTACCAAGTAGGAACTCTGTACTAATCTTCTTTGAAACCTCTGTAGCTCTTGGCACAATGTCTTATTCATATTAGGTAAATAAGTTTACTCTAATTAATGATGGCTTACAGCAACAATTGTGAAGATGGCACAGGACCAGGCAGTGTTTCTTTCTATTGTACACAGGGTTGCTATGAGTCAGAACTGACTCAATGGCACTTATAAGCAGTTTGTGAATGAGAAATGTTGCTTACCCAAATTATTTGTAAAGGAATTCTCTAATCAAAACTATCTTGGTTCTTTTCCAGGCATCTTAGTGTCACTATCTTAACATGGTAAAGGAAAAAAAAGAAAGAAAGACGGCACCAGAGGGACTCATTAACTATGGAGGCAATTCATTCTGTTACAGTGATGCTCGAAATAACAGATTTTCCTTTTATTGAGCTAGTATTTACCTACCTGCCGATTTCCTGTTGATTTAGTTCTATCTCTTGAGTGGGTAAAACAGGCCCTAAAGGCAGCTGCTCTGCCCAACCCTAACCTTACTCATATATGACAGTGCTGAGGAGAAGGGAGCTATTTACTAACCATATTTCTTTTACTAACTGAAAGCAATGATCATTTAAAATACAGCAATTAACTTATACAAAGAAAATGATAAAACACTATTGCAAGAAGCCAAAAGAAACCTACAGAAATGGAAAAGCATACTATGTTCATGGATAGGAACATTTAACATTGTGAAAATGTCAATAATACCCAAAATAATCTGTAGATAAAATGCAATCCCATTCCAAATTTCAACAGCATTCTTTAATAAGATGGAAAAATGTTATCACCAACTTTATATGAAACAAAAAAGAAGTCATGGACAAGTAAAGCATTATTGAAGAAGAACAACAGTGTAGAACTTACTACACAGTCACCATAATCAAAACAAACTGATACTGGTACAATGTCAGGCATATAGACCAATGGAACCGAACTGAGAATTCAGATATAACTTTGTTCACCTATAGAAAGTGATGTTTGACAAAGGGCCAGGTTCAATAAATGAGGAAGAGACAGTCTTTTTAACAAAGGTTGCTGGCAAAACTGGATATCGATCTGTAGAAAAATGAAGCAGGACTCATATCTCACACTATACAGAAAAACAAGCTCAAAATGGATTGAAGGCTTAAATATAAAACTTAAAACTATAAAGATCATGGAAGAAAAAATGGGGATAATGCTAGGGTCTCTAATATATGGCATAAATAGAATATCAAACATAATTTAAAATATACAAATAGCAGAAGATTAATTAAATAAATGGAACCTCCTAAAAATTAACACTAATGTTCATCAAAAGGCTTCTCCAAAAGAGAACCTACAGACTAGGTAAAAAAACAAAAATGGATATGACACAATAAATAATGGTCTAATCTCTAAAATGCATAGAAAATGAAAATAAAAAATATATAATACTCAACAGCAAAAAAGACAAACAATTTAAAAATGGGCAAAGAATATGAACAAATGCGTCACCAAAGACAACATTCAAGCAGCTAACACATGAAGACATGCTTACTATAATTAATGATTGTTGCTGTTAAGAGATATTGTTGTTGTTGCTATTATTAAATGTTGAGTTGGTTTGGACTCATAGTGACCCTGTACAGGGTTTCTGAGGAGCAGCTGGTGAACCTGAACCGCCAACCTTGCCATTCAAACTGACCTCGCAGTCCAGCACAGTAACCCACAGCACCACACAGGACTCTAAGAGTCATCAAGTCAGTTCCAACTCATAACGACCTATAGAGGGTTTCTCAGGCTTTAAATCTTTGTGGGAGCAGAACATCTCATTTTTCTTCTATGGATAGGCTGATGGGCTTGAACCACAGAACTTGTTTTTCACAGTCCAGTACCTGTTGTATTGAGCCACTGCACTCCCAAATTAGCAATGAGAGGGAGCTATTCATGGTCTGTTCTATACTTGGTCCCTAGCCTTGCTTTGGCTGATAATATTGTGCTCTCAATTGTGTCTTCCCACAGATATAGTCAATTTGATTCCTGTATATTCCATTTGGTAAGGTCAACATATTTGGTGTTGTCTTAGGAGCTGTCGAGTCAAGTCCAACTCATAGCAACCCTATGCACAACAGAACGAAACACTGCACAGTCCTGAGTCAGCCTCACAATCATTGTTAACCTTGAGCCCAATGCTGCTGCCACTGTGCCAATTCATCTCAGAGGTTTTCCTCTTTTTCACTGACTCTCCACTGTACTTAGCATAATGTCCTTTTCTGGGGACTAGTCCCTCCTGACAATTGTCTAAGATATGAGAGACCAAGTCTTGCCATCTTTGCTTCCTTATTCACTGTCAACTTTCACATGCATATGAGGCTATTTGAATAAAAGTGATAGTAACTGGTCTATCTTGCAGGCATATTATCCTATCACAAACAGCATTGTACTTCAAGATATATCTTGAAATGTTCTTTTTGACAATGAATGTGTCACCATCCTCTTCAATTTGTCATCCCAGACCTAGCAAACTATATGATT